AACCATCTGAGCCACCCAGGCGCCCCCCCCTTTTTTAAAGATTTTATTTATTTATTTGCCAGAGAGAGAGGCGGGGAGAGAAAAATGACATTTTAGATCTGTGCACTCTGCATACTTCACAGTGGTGGCTATATATGGAATTAATCTACGATCGGAAGACCTGTATAAATACTGAGGACCTGAACAGTGGAATGGTAGGCGAGTTACAGAGGGGAGATTAGATTTGAGAAGTGTATGAAATTAAAACAACTTGAGTGTTCATTGAAAGAGGCAAGTGGCAGACAAAAAGATGACTTCCTAAGCTCTAGCTGGGAGGACGTACCAGAGGGTATCACTGCACAACATAATAAATCCAGTATAGTTGCCATTCCTCTCCCTAGAGGTCCTATCCCTTGGGAGGGCACCTCCCTGTGGAAGAATTAGACTTTCCACCCGTTTGATGTCAGTTTTGACCATGTGACTTGTTTAGACCAATGAACTATGAGCAGAAGCACTTCTGAGCACAAGCTTCCCGGATTCCAGCCTCCTCTACCACCTTCTCTTTTTCCTTTGAATGTCCCAGGCAGGAGCTGTTCTCTCAGCCTAGACACCAAAATAAAAGCCATGAAGCAGAGCCTCAGTCAATCACACAGATACAGTGAGAAAGAAACCTTTGCTTTCATAAGTCACTGTGATTCGGGGTCATTTTTTGTACTGTAGTATAACTTAGTCTCAGCTGACTGATATATGTAAATAAGTTTCCTTATTATCCTGTAGGATCCCGTTATTTCTATTAGCTGTAGGCATTGACGCCACTTTTCTCCTAGACTCAAGACTTATATGAATGGTATGATATATATTAAGTGAATAAAGCTTTAGAATATTTGAAATCGGGACTGCCTAGTAAATTCTCCCTCTATGGCCAATTTATTTAAAGAATGTGGATACATGTGCGGGTGGGGAGAAAGAATTTATATATATCTGTATGTATTTCTTTGTATGTTTATATTGTTATATAAATTTGTCTTATACATTATATATAATTATATTTATTTCAACTTGATATTATTTTTATAGCAAAAGAAAACATTTTTATGTTAGTCTCTACAAAGAATAGGAGTACTTGTGAAAGAAGAAGCACGATTTACGCCAATTTGTTTAAACAATTATTTTTAAACCACAATCATTTTCCCCTACTGATCCTAATGACACCATTTCCCCCCAAAATAAAAACTCTTAGCCTTTTAGATTAGAGCCCATATTTCAAAATATAAAAGGAGTATTTGGAGAGAGATAAAAGAACATAGAACCTTTGAAGACTGATTTAATCTTACTTGGGTCAGTTATTGTGGGTGTTTGGGATGATTAAAATTTCATCTATCAAAATAAAAATAAGCCAATGACAGTTATTGTTAAAGAATAATATTTTGTAGAAGATAGCACTAGACTCCTTTTCTTCTTAGCTCCTTCCCTCCTTGTATATAAATATGTATACGTTTACGATCTAACACATACCGGGCAGTATGCTAGATAACTAGGGATTAGTCAAAGAATAGGGCAGAATCTGGCCCTGCCTAAAATGAATTAACACGTTTTTACTTAAAAACTATCGCCTACTTAGGCAGCACACATTGCTTCCTCATCGAAACAAGTGACAAGATTTTCAACAAACTTGCAATCTTCACCAAATGAAAAAATGAATCACCCTCAGGTGTCGCTGGTTTGTTAGAGGCCATTGAAGAAACAGAAGGTTGTTCTTCTCCCATTTGTGTTTTCCCACTGGCAAAAGGAGAGACCGCCTGCACGAACAGTGATTCTAAGAAGCCAATACCTGTGGCAGAATTCTTCATTAGGATGTAGTGGTGGAAAGCCATTATTTAGTTAAAAAGCAAAGTGGTGTATTTGAGAAAACACTAGACTGGAGGGAAAACAAAGTGTGGGGCTCCTTCTGTAAGTCAGGTAACCCTGGGCAAATCGTTTCTTCTATCCAAGTTCTTCATCTGCAAAATAGAGGCAATGAGATCAGCTTTATCTTTTCATAGCTTTGGTAAGAATATCAAATCAACACAGGTAATGGGGGCACCTGGGTGGCTCAGTCAGTTGAGCGTCTGACTCTTGGTTTCAGCTCAGGTCATGATCTCAGGTTTGTGAGATAGAGCCCCCCCTCGGCTCCCCGCTCAGCGAGGAGTCTGCTTCTCTCTCCTTCTGCCCCTCCCCACATTCTCCCCCCCAGCCTATGTGCTCTCTCTCCCTCTCTCTCAAATAAATAAAATAAATCTAAAAAAAACCCCCCAAAACTGCAGGTAATGAAGTGTGTCACTGCAAAGGTACCTCAGTCTTTTGATTTTAAGCCTTATTATTTCCTTTTTTCTTTTCTTTCATGGGGTTTTTATTCAGGTAAACAAGTAGCATAAATCCAGATGGGCTCTTCCCAGAACTTCCGATTACAGTACTGCATTAGGTCAGTTATATAAATAGATACTAAGTAATCAATTGCTAATTTACTGATGAATTTATTTGTGTAGCCAACATTTATTTAATATCTATTATTTTTAAGGTTTCACATCGGGCGCTCCAAGAGATACAAAAGTGAATGGCACAATTGCTTTGATAGGATAGAAACTCAGGGCGCCTGGGTGGCTCAGTCATGAAGCGTCTGCCTTCGGCTAAGTTCGTGATCCCAGGGTCCTGGGATCGAGCCCCACATTGGACTCCCTGCTCCGCGGGGAGCCTGCTTCTCCCTCTCCCACTCCCCCTGCTTGTGTTCCCTTTCTCATTGTCTCTCTCTCTGTCAAATAAATAAATAAAATCTTTA